TTGTGAAATGTTTTTAAAGATTTATGAGTTCAGCAGGAACAAGTGAGCCCAGAAAAGGTTCAGAGGCAGAATAACGCGATTTTTCTACACCGGGTTTGTTGATAGTAGCAAAAAGTATAAAATAATGCCAGCCGCACTTAGCGCCTTGTGTTTCCTGTTTGTGAAAACCTTTTGCTCAAAAACAAAAAAGATCAGGCAACAAGCTTCTGAAAGCGAATTAGCGCCAGGAATGTAAATTATATTTTAATTTGTTCATTAACTAAGGGCTGTTCTTCATGCATGAGGGATAATTATTAAAGTAATAATCATCAACATTTTCATATGATTAAATATTCATTTTGCTGCTATCGGCAGCTGCTTCTACACAGTTCTCATTCAACCTACACTGCTCATGAAAGCACTTTTCCAGTTCTTGTGCCTGCGGTTTGGTGGATGCGTTTCTGATAAATTCTTTGGTAAACAAGAAGCTGTTTAGTTTACATCTCCAGAAATGTTGTTCAGCTGAAAGTGACTTAACGAGAAGGACTGTCAAAAGAAACCGCCACACCCACTGGAGCAACCCACAGATTTAAAGTGCAGCCTCTTTGGGTACAAGTTTGCAGGTGAAAGTTTTATCATCACTCCACTTTTGCTGCAATTGGCATGGCCTCTGGACTCTTTGCTGCAGTTCATTTCAGATCCATGTATCCAACTAAATCACTTTAATAGTGATTTATTAGACAGGCTTTACTTATTAAAGTCTAACTCTTAATGATGTCATAAATGCATCTTATTTTAGGTGCCCTTGTAAAAACGGCCTTGTAAAAACATTCCAACTGCACATGAAAGCATCAGCTCTGGGCTGCTTCACTCGTTATCATTTCTCACTTCTGACTCATTAGCCTTTATTCTGACTTTTTTTTTTTTTTTAAGAAGACAACAAACCTAAAAGCCTAAAACACTTTTGTTGTCTTTAACAAATCAGCGGGGAAACCTGAATACAGGCCATTTCACTGGTGTCATTTTATTCTCTGCTCTCCTGTGAAAATCATATAAAGGCAGTCCAGCGAGACTGATCAGGACCATATTGATTCATTCACTATAAATCATTGGCTGGTGTGTTGTTGCATAGAAGCTTTATATGCCAGTAAAAAAAAGGCATTGAAAATTCAGCAGGGCTTTTTCCAGCTTCAATCTGCAATACTTACACAAAACACACACAGAGAGGAATGGTAGCTAAAGACAAAAGCACACATTTCCTTCTTTATTCCCTTGCAGATTTCAAATTGACAAACATGCAAACAGCAGAAGAACTTAAATGAAGTTTTTCTTTGGAACTTAGTTGCTTAAAAAATCGCTTATGCACCACTGATTTTGTGAAGAGAAACAGCAAATATGATTATGACATGGCTTACAATAAGTCAGGCTAACAAAAACACAAAATAGATGTTTAGTTTGGGATCACTTACAATCCAAAATCATGGTGTGCAATCGATGAGGAAGGAAAGAGTGTGTACCTTACTAATGGGTTTTTACCCCCTGAGCCCACTGTGTGTATCTATAGATTTTCTCCTCTGCAGTGGTGAAAGATGTACTCAGATCCTTGGAGTAAAACTACAAATTTAAGAATACTATGCTATTAGAAGTATTCCAAAACCCCATATAAGTGAAAATACAGATGCTTTCTTTTCATTCTCAAAAACATGTAGGTGCATCTCTGTAACCTAAACATTTTTGTAAATACCATTTTTTTCAGTTTTCATTATTATTACTTTAATTTAGAAATGTTACATACCGTTTTATTCCATTCTGCTCCCAAAACAAAAATGCTCAGTGATGTGTCCCACACCTTTCCCCTTCTTATTCACCAATCTGCATTATTATATCGCTGTAACACAAACATGCAGACACACACCAGACACTATGCTAGTACTTGCCTTAATTCTTCAGATTCAGCAAGCAGCTGCAAACATTCCTCAAAGATTTTGGTCCATATTGATATGATCACAAAGTTGCAGCAGATTTGTTGGTTGCACATCCGTGAGGCAAATTTCCTGATCTGCTGCAGAGGTGCTCTGTTAAATTGAGATCTGGTTATTTTAATACAGGGAACAAACTATCATATCCTTGGAGATGATTTGAGCTTTTCGACATGTTAACCTCATCAGAAAATGGGTACGCTAGCAGCAATACTCAGGTCGGCTTTGACTCAGTTGGTGCTAAGGAGCCCCCGCATTACTACACAAACATCACCACCCTATTACAAAGAAGAACGGATCCATGCTTTTCTGTTGCTTCAGAAACTGTAGCTCGTTACATCAGTCAGTGTTTCCAATCTTCTGTTGTCAAGTTTGATGAGCCTGTGTGAATTACAGCCTCGTTTTCCTGTTCTCAGCAGACAGGAGTTACATCCTCTGTGGTCTTCTGCCTCAAGATTTGACGTGTTGTGCGTTCAGAGATGCTCTTCTGCATACCTTGGTTATAACGAGTCCTTATTTGAGTCACCGTTGCCTTCCTGTCAGCTCGAAGCAGCCTGACCATTTTCCTCTGACCTCTTGACATTAACAAGATATTTTTGCCCAGAAAACTGCTGCTGAGCAGATATTCTCTTCTTTCGGATACTTTTCTGTAAAGTTTAGAGATGGTTGTGTGGGGAAAATCCCAGCAGATCAACAGTTTCTGAAATATTCAGACCAGTGAGTCAAGCATCGACAACCATGCCATGTTAAAAGTCTCTTAAATCACATTTTCTCCTGTGACGTTCAGTTTGAGCTTCAGCAGTTTGTCTTGACAGTTCTTACATGCCCAAATGCATTGTGTTACTTCCATGTGATTGGCTGATTAGACATTTGTATTAATGAGCAGTTAAACAGCTGTACCTACTAAAGTGGGAGTGTATTTGCTCACGGACTGTTAATAGCATTTTTAACTTTCAAGAGAATCCCCTCTTTTCAGTACTTGCTACTGTAACCAACACTAGATGCTTATTTTTCTTTCTTTTTTTTTCTTTCTTTTGTTGTTGTTGCTGTAAACAGAACAGAAACCAAATCCAGCTCAGACATATGTTTGACCAATTTTTCATAGTGAAAAATGACCTGAACATGACCCGTTCCCTTGTTGGAGTATCTAAGTAATGTGGGCTGTTGCAGTGGATGGCCTTGCTTTCGCCTGGCTTTTTAGAGGGTGACTTTTCTTCCCAATAGTTAAACTGGCTCTCCATTTTCAGCTAGGTGGTTGTTTGAACTTTCTCCATCTGTCTCTGGTTTCGGTCGAAGCCACAGCTTCTCAAATGACACTATAATGCGTCACCATCAAAGTATGAGAACCGTTTTGCTGTTTATGTTGGTTTTAAATGAGTTGTTTGTTGAATGAACCGATGACTCATTATTGAGGAAAGAAGAAAGAAAAAGGCCACACATTGATTTTATTCCTTAGTTTTTTCTAAGACTCTTTTGTCTAGACTCTTCTAATTTCTGCAGAAGGTCACAAAACAAAAACGCTGAGATGCACTGATTTAATTAAAAAAAAATACACCGTGTTTATCCTTATCTTTGCCTGGATTACCCTGAAATTTGATGTAAACAGTCATGTGTCCTCAGGTGCTATTATCATGATGGCTAATTTCACTATCTAGTATATTTATTTTTTGTGAAAACAGAATTACATTCCTATCAGGTTCTGCTGCACGTTGTTTGAAATATAAAATATTCCTCCACCCTAAATTGAAATGATAAACATTTTAAGCACTGCATCTTTAATATCTCTCTTTGTTTGTTTGTTTGTTTAGTTCTCCTCCCCGTCGGTGTACTGGGTCAGAAACCGGTGGTGATCAATTTCCAGACAAACCCAGTGTTGTCTCAAACTGGTACTGATGTAGTGTTCACATTGCTGAACCTACCAAGTGTCCTGACCATCACATGGTTTTATGAGAACAGGTCTTTGGGCGTGTGGGCTGGAGGGACCTCAACGGTTGAACCACCATCGCAGTTCCAGGACAGGGTCTTCATCACTGCCAACACGCTCAGAATTGGAAGAGCCCAGCTCCGGGATGCAGGGAGCTACCAGGCAATGGTGGTTCCCACTTCTAACACAAACCTGTCTGTGAACACCGGATCAGTACAGCTGAGAATGTTTGGTAAGAGATAAAGAAGTGCCCCTGTGAGTTGATTTAAGAGAGGGTTGGGAAGTGGGGTGGGAAGGGAAAGTGGAGGGCTTGTAGAGTGTGTGGGGGGAGAGAGGTTTTGAGGGAAGCGATAATGTTAGGGAGGAATACCAGGGAGTAAAAAGAGAAGAGGGAGGATTCGGGAAGTAAGAGAATTAGTCTGGGAGGTATAATGAAATTAGTGACCCATAGTAGGCGAGGTAAAATTAATGAAAAAAGAGGAGGGGATGAAGCCAGTGGCTCAGGGCTTTATGCTAATTAAAACTCATTCAATATGCAGCATTCATGCTCTTAGATGTTTGATATTATAGCGGTCTAAATGCAGCGTTGCATTTGCATACAGTACATACTGTATTTGCATTCGTTTATATTCAGTACTGTAATGGAGCCCGAACAGCTGAGGGTCTCTCTTTATTTTCAGTCAGCTGCCCACGCTGCAGGGATGATGTACAGATTTTCTCAACCTTCTTACCACCAGTGCTAATAGGGTGCCAGAGAGACCGAATTGTTAGAGGCACTAGTCTATTATTGCTGAAAGGTCACATTCTCCAAACTCACCACAGCAAGTTCATGTCATGGAACAGCCGAGTCCTTCTGCACGACTCTCAGCCTCCTACTTACTCGTTCATAGCTTCCTCTTGAAATGAAAGGCAGCCAAAATGCTAAAATATAAATCCTGCTGCTGATTCACAGGTGATCTGCAAAAACAGGAGTGATTAGAGTTATTTAGTAGCTGCTCGAATGTTTTTGTTTGTTTGCTGTAGCTGCTGCGGTTCTCTCTTAGTCACCGCTTCCTCCTCCTCCTCCATCCGTATTCCCCCTCTTCTCCTTTTCCAATTATTTAACTTAGGCTGCTCGCCAAGAGGCATTTCGGGTACCACTCACACCGTCTGCCCCCTTATTCGCCATCTGTGCCTCTATCTGAACGGTGTCCCTTCTCAGCTCTCACTTGCTTTGATTACAACAAATTATCCTCAACAGATGCATAAAGCTGCCCTCTACTGTTCTGTCACTCCAACTTTTGAAGTGAGCTCCCTCTCGTTCTCTTTCTCTCTCAAACACTCAGGCTCATACCTATAGTAGTCGTTAATTTTAAAATCTTTTTCTCGACATTTCTGCTTTTGCAACTCTTTGGTAAAGTTTATTTTTCTTCCCATAGATGTCGTAGCCGGAGTGAGTTTGTCTGTGCCTTTAGTACCATTGGATGGGGGAAATGTGTCTCTGAGTTGTACATGGACTGCTGGGACGGAGATTACAGTCCAGTGGGGCAAAGGAGGCTCAACAGTCACTGCTGACTCCAGGATCACCATCTCCGGTGGCTCTCTCATCATTAACCCAGCCAGACGGAGTGATGCAGGGGAGTACACATGTACAGCCAGCAACCCTGTCAGTGCCCAAACTGCCACAAAGAGCCTCACTATCTACTGTGAGTTTGTAGTGATTAAGACAAGAGGAAGCTAATCTGCTGTAGCCACTGCAAATAGCAGTAGCTTATCTGCTTACCCCCATTGCACTGCATACAGTATGCTGAAGTGCACTCAGAGTGCACAGAACATTGTCCAAAAGCTTATTGTTGTGCTTCTGGCTTTGTCTCGAGCACATCAGTGATTCAGCAATTCTCATATTACAACTGCTATGCTTCTGATCGGTGTCCTCGAAGATCTAACGTGTATTTTTTGTGTGTCCGAAATAAATCCCATCCTCTGTAGCCACAGACGTATTCATCAACAGGGGCTGCCGTGCTGTAGACTGATAACAGCTGGTAAAACTAAAAGTGCAGCTAATGATTACTTTCAATGTCACCTTATCTCTTGATTAATTTTTTTTTCTCCAATAATTATTCAGGCCAGTTTTTCAATTTCAACTGGTGAACTGGGCAGTAATCAAAAACAGAAATCAACCATAAATCTGCAAAGCCTGCATGTGGGAAACTATAACAAGCAAATATTTACAATAGTTTCCATCTTTTTTTTAAATTAATGCATTTCTTCAGTTAAGCTGTGCTGACATCAGACCAGCTGAGTTTAGGGTAGTAGTTAATGTTTGCCCACTAACTGCAGTCTTGGTGGTTTTGACACTGAACCTGCCAAAGTGTCCTTGGGAATACACGACGGTTTGAAACAACCTGGTTTTCAAGCATCATGTCGGAGAAATTCCATCCATATTTTCGATAAACAACATACACAATGTTTATTTGAGCCGTACTTGATTCGTACTAGCTTATAATCATGTCTTAAGAAGAAAAATACAAAAGCGGCCACTTCAGTGAGTGAATTATACTGTGAGGCATGCAAGTCAGGCAATACATGTAAAAATAACCTTTAGAGAGAACATTTTCTTATTTTTTCTTTATGGCAAAACTCCATTAGCTGAATAACTTGCAGTCAAGATTAAAGACAGTTCACAAGAGTGATTTATCTCGATGTCTTTAAAATAAAATTGACAAAATGATAACTCCTTTAGCTGAACATATAATCCGTGCCTTTGCTTTTTGAGATATAAAATTGTCCTCATTGTACTTGTGAAGTAAATCTTTCTGGTGCTGATAACTTTGCCCTCTAATAATCAACAAACCAGATGGCCCTGACACCCCTGTGCTGACCAAGGACACCCCGAAGCAGTGTGTCGGGGGAGGGGACGTGGTGGTGGGACAGACGACGCGTCTCACCTGTACGTCTAACTCGCTGCCTCCTGCGCTCTTCTCTTGGCAACTCGACGGACAGCCTATCACAAATAGCCAGCCGGACAGCGGGGTGCTCACCATTCAGACTTCTTCGAAAAATCAGAGCGGCCGATACGCCTGCACGGCCAGAAACACCATCACTGGAAACACGTCAACCCAGAGCACAGTCTTTGCCGTCGTGGGTGAGTTATGGTGAACGCTGACCTCTCTCTGACTGATTATGATGACAGTTGGTTTTGGACTCCGTCCTCGTATCTGTCTTCACGACAGGAGAGGGACAGAAAGTATCCTGGGAGATCGATCTGCTGAGAATGCGGTCAAAGTCATTCAGTGAACCAGCCCGACGCATCCCTTTATTCTCACTTGTTTCCTCACCCCCCTCTTTCTTTGCAATTACTTCATCATTCCTTTTTTAGAATCTTCACCTCCTCTCGTCTCATTTTTTTTTCTTTACCTCCTCTTGTTTGTCTGAGCCTCCAGACTCATTATCTTTATTAATTCTCCCCCCTGTGACACCATTCCTTCTATTTCAGACGTATGCTTCAGCGCAGGGGAAGTGGCGGGGATTGTGATTGGCTCTTTCCTGGGCATCGTAATTATCGTGCTCCTCATCGTGCTCATTTTCTTTCTTGTGCGAAGAAGGGAGGGTGAGTTCATGTGTGTGTATGACCACAAACCTTGTGTTTGTCCCCTTTTAAAAATTTTATTGTATATTTTGTGAAGCAAAACACTTTTCATCACAGTCTTTATTAGCATCTTTACTTTAACAGTAGTCCATTAATTTTTCCTTGCAATGTTGCAATGTTATTTGTTTTATTAAAGCATTAAGACAAAGGGAAACTGCGCTGGTTCCAAAGACCAACCCAAATCAAAGGCCTGTGGTAAGCCTCTGTAAAAATTGTAACTACAGATCTGATTTATTAATAATTCTTTTTTGTTCTCATTCCATTTTTCCTTTTTCTGTGTCTTTCCATTAAGCCCCCAGATCCACAGCCTAATGGTAGAAGGGATTTGGATCAAGGTCCCAATCCTCCCCTCTATCAACACAACTCTGACCGCTTATACAGAGCTGCACGCCAAAGCCTTGACAACCTGCAGACACTGCCGCCAAATGGGCTGCGTAACTCTGACACACGCCAACACAATGGCCATACGCACACAAATGGACTCCTACACAATGCTATTCAGAACACCAATTCATATCCACATAATGGCATTGACAACCCGGCTTTCGTGCAGACCGATGCTCAGAATACGAACACACTGCCAAACACACAGCAGCAAAATCCTAACATTCTCATACAGACCGGCCCTGCCCAGGGCGGCGGCCAGCCGCAGGCGGTTCATGTCAGCCTTAACGCGCTGCCGCAAACTACCCAGCCGAACAACAATGCACAGTTTCCCGCCATTCATGTCAATCTTAACTCGTATCCAACTGGTGGCCAACAGACACAGCAAGACATTTCTTTTCCCTTTACCAATGCAGCCAATAATAATGCTTCACAAATCCAACACAGCCTGATGCCTGCAGGGCAGTCTAATCCCAGAATGCAAAGTGGCAGACCCTATCCTAGTGACCCCCAGGATGCTCAAGTAAACGCATATCAGCAAGATCAACCGGGACTTATTCCAACTGGATACACACATTATAACAGTAATAACACTTCACAGAGGAATGCCAACACACAAACATACCAGGAACCAGAATCTCACAGGAGGTCTGACAGGAACTCTGGAAGACAAGAGGCCACTCCCAGTTCCTCCCATCGACAGATGTCTTGGGATTTCCTCAGAGGGACACCAGCGTATCCCAACGGCACGCAAAACAGAGGACACACATCCTCTGAGTACACCAGTGATGCTACAGACTATACCAGCCATGCTCCAATACGCGAAGGAAGAACAACAAACAGATCTCAGCCTCGAACTCAGAGACAAACTGCTAACCGTAGCAGGACTCCACCCAGACAAGATGCATCATTAGCTGACAGACGCTCGCGGCAACACTCGGCTGATTTTCAGCAGGTACTCTCTGGCATTTTAACCCAGCATGAGTCCTCACAACGCACACAGAGAAGCCCCCACACACAAAGGGAAAGTGCTCAGCGAGACATCAGAGGTTCGCCTCGTAGCCAGTCTGCCCCCAGGCAGGAAGCCACTCACAGCAATAACCCCCAGGCACTGCCTCCCACTGCCTCTGTAGGCCACTCTGCTGTCTCACAAGGACCCACCATACAACAGGGACTGACTGCACCGCAGGGTGCGGACACAAGAGCTTTGGCTGATCCTAATCATCTTCAACAAGCACACATGGTTCAGCAAAGAAAAACAGCACCAATTCAAACAGCACCACAAGGCGTGGGTACACAGACACAGCCTGTCACACATGGTGCTGGTCAAGCTCCCCAAAGGGGCACTGCTCCAGCCCCATATCCCTCCACCCAGCAAAAACCCAGTAATCTAACCCAGGCTGCACTCAAAGCCCACACTGCAAGGGCTCAGACATTTCAAAATCGGAGACAGCAGACCCAGGCTGCCCTGCTTCACCCCGGACCACAGACTCAAGCTCCAGCTGCTGGGGATCAGCACCCACCGACTCCTCCTCCTGTTATCCCCCTCAGAGAGTTTCAAACGCTCCCCAAAGAGCGCAAACACCACAAATCCCCTGGTAGAGGCCCGGAGCCCCCAAGACCTCCAGTTAATATGCCAGTGGCTCAGCGACCCGATGCGCATCGCCATCACACCGTGATGCCTACCAACCATCATCACCAACCTCGGAATGGCCACATGCATGTCACCGCACACAGGCACGGCCACGCTCATGCTCATGGCCATGGGCAACCTGCCCACTTAGCTCACCAAAGGCAGGTGAGTGTGAGACACAGCACGATAGCTTGAAACCGCAGCCAACAGATGCCATATGTTTGATATTGCAGATTTCCAGCATGCGGCTCTGTCTCCGACGTGCACTTTTGTGCCTGTGTTGTCCTGCTTCCTGTGTACTTGCATTTATACGAGGCCTGCTCCTTCTTTCACTGTCTGCTCAACAGTTGCTGCCTCAGTCTTTTTTGAAAGATGCTTGACAGTCAGTCTTAAAAAGTGTTGCAATTTTTGGGTTGACAGTGTTTGTCAGTGCCGTAAAATTGTATTTAGTCTCGAGTGTTTGTGACATTGTGGCAGTTTTTAAAGTAGCATTGTGTGTCAGGTGTCCTGCTTTTTTTTGGCGTGTGTGTGTGTCACATTGGCAATGAAGGGCTTGTTGTGTGTCTCCAGCAACAGGCTCACAGAGGGAGACCAAGATGATGACAGATGTCAGCAAACTACACTCTGCAACTGTCCTGTGAACAAACAGCCGACAGACGGGATCCAATATACCACCAAGCAAGACTGACTGCACGGGGTTTAGCACTTTAAAAAGCTGTCAAACGCTGTCATAACTGACTCCTGAAATCAGTTATTTTTTTTATGGAAAAAAATATACGAAGACTGGGGTGAGAAATGTTTTCTGAAAAGATATTAGAAATTATCTTAAAGGAGGTTCGAGCTACCCTTTTTAAGGGGAAAAAAATTACACTTACTACAAAGCTCCATAATCAACAAACCTTTGGGAATACAATAACTGTGTCCCAGACCCAGTTATAGGACTGCTTTGTACTTCTGAAGCACAGGTCATGTATCACAATTTGCCAAGGGCCTGTTTTTTTTTTTTTTAAAGTGCAGTGATCCATAGGACCTGAAGAAGTTCATGTCCTCTCATCTATTCATCAGCAGCACTAAACAACTAAACTGCCCAAATAAAATGCACACGAGGTAGCTGCGTGAATATCCGTGACTACCTGAGCCAATAATGACAAACAATAAATGAGAAAGGACCCTGCACAAGATGGACTCGGCCCCTGGGAGCAGTCATGAATGATGAAATTAGCAGCAGGGGTGGTCTTGATTTACTTGGAGCTATTTATTTCGTGCCTTCTGTTTACAGATGCCTCTTATGACACTTCTCAATTAAAGGGATTCGCTCCAGTGGTGCTGGGAAATAATGCTGTGCTTACTATGAGGGGGATCCCCCCAAATGGATGGGCGCCTATTAATTAAATGCTTTTATGTGACTTAAATGACTTGGAAAATAATCATACCCGTGCACGAATGAGGTCAGCACACACACACAAAAAAAACCCCTGAGCTGCCGCAGTTTCTGCTGAAAAAGCAGTGTAACAATTTACGGGTTCGTAGACGGCTCATTAAAAATGAAAGATTGTCGTTATTAGCTTTATTAGGTATTTATGCTTTTTTTTCTTTTTTAAACTCAGGGTATAATTTTATATTGATGATAAGTTGCACTAATTGATATCGGTGGTGTTGTTTCGTATGTTTTATTTAATACCGATATAGTTCTCTGTTTCTCCTAACAGAACCAACAGCTCGGGCACTGTGTTGCACCAAATGTGTAACAAAAAGTTGGAAATGAATTGTGTCACATACATTTTGTGCTGGCTAAAAGTTCAAAGGGTTTAAAATGTCACATCCCGAGCCTCCAGCAAAACCATTTACCGCTAGTATGCATCTGTTGCGATTTTTTTTTTTTTAAAAAACAGGGCAGGTTTGTGACCTTTTTATTATTATTAGCAGACAAAAAGTGGATATGTCAATCAAAGCCTCAGGTTAAGAAATTGAAAAGTCTCCTTTCTTCCCCTGGAACTTATTTGGCATTAAGAATACACATCACAGAATATCCCCAACTCTGTTCTTTAATATTGAAATGAATAAGCTCAGCGTTTGAAACCAACATGAAAAACTACGCAGCGCATATGGAAGCTCCAACCAGACATCTGGAGCACCATAATTCCTTTGGTTCTTGTTTTGGAAAATGAATGCTTGTAAACAGTTCATACAGATGTTCCAAGTGAGATGATAAAAGTACAGTATTTATCAGGAGAAGAATTTGTATATATTTGGGATTAATGAACAGATTTGTATTTTTATTTTATCAATAAAAATAAAGATATTTTGCTACTGCGTTTGTCATCTCACTGCCATCGCGCTAGACAACACTTTTCAAGGACTGTTCACAGCCAAATGCACGCTCACAAACACATGAGGATTTTGGATTTCCAGTGCAAAAATACCTCCTCTATGCATGCATGTTGACAGTAAGTCAATCCATATAAGCGCCTATTTATTCTGGTGTTCTTCTGTATCACAGAGCTGTTTGCAGTCTAGCCATATTTCTGCTCACTGTGTCTATAGTGCTAATTATTCATGGCGCCTGTGTATACCGAGTGCTGTTGTTGATTCTGCTCAGATAAATCTGTTCCTTCGGCTTGCTGTGGAGGTGCGGAGTGTGTGTTTGGATCACAGCTCCATCAGTCTCCCAATCCCCTGCTCCCACTTGTACGTCACCTCTGATGAACAGGCCTGCTGCTCACTATTGGAGACACTTCACGGTAGTCTAGCACTGTAATGAGTGGAGATGGAGTGCATTTGAGTACCTGGTACCAGAATAGGTTACACCACTGCCTACCGGTTCCAGATGAAAGCTGTGATTTATGAAAAGTTTGGAGCAGTTTTACAAATGAAGTACTTTGTATACTATGCTACCCCTGCTATCTTTGGAGGGATGTGTGCTGTTTATTTCCTAAACAGCTCAACGGAAATTGCAAGACATTCTGGAGTCTTCAAAAACGCAGCACAGTAAACCTCAAAAGCTTATGTCGCCACCTTCCCTGGGCCAATTTGCATGTAAATCTGCTCGTGTTGTTTTAGTATACTGATTTAAAGTGATTTACTGTGACTGCCGCAAGTAATTGTAATTGTTTACGCATGCCTTTGGTGGCATAAATTAAAGGAAAACATAGCTCAAGTGCTGTGTGTGCAAAGAGGGCATTTTTCTGTATTGACGAATGCTCGTTGTGGAGTGTGTCAAATTGCAGCAGCGAGCTTTCCTGACTCAAGTGTGTAGAGAGCCAGTGTTGATTTTACTCAGGAGACTGCAGTAGATTTGCCCAGAAAACCTTAATGCCACAAGATGGCCAATATCATCCTAATCCAATCTTAATTTAAATTCAGCGCAGCTCAGCTTGCATGCATATTTTTTGTATATTTGATGACATTTTATAGTTTGGAAATAACAGGGGAATGGCCATAAAGCCCAGACCATATTTAGTTCAATTAAGGAACCTCTCAGAGTGAATAAAAATTGATGATACCTCCTTTCTTTTGTTCACAGCATTGATGGTGATTTATTCCAGCACAACGCGAAAGAAAGAGGCCAGGCACGGCAGTCCTCATAAGACCGTATGATCATTGAGATGAGCTGCAAAGCCCGTTGAGATCAATGCTGTTCATCCCTCTCAAAGTGTCCTTGGGCAAAACACTGAACCCCTGCTGCTGTGCGCTGACCCCTTCGGTGAAACAGCATGTGAATATGAGTGTCAGAGGAATACGAAATGAAACAAATTTATGATTAAACTTTGCACACAGGATAACTGAAAAAGACTATGAGTCTAAATTTATGACTCTAGACTGTCCCACAGTCATCTATCCTTGGAAAATGTCCTTGACCAGGACAGTGAATCCCCAGCAGTTCACTAGCTGTAAATTGCTCTAGACAGGAGCGTCTAAAATGTAAATCATAAGTCAAAACTGCACTGTGTCAACTACAGACTCCATGCCTCCACCTAACCCACAAGGGGGAGCCATGTGAGAAGGTTTTTTTTTTCACTTTCACTATTGATCGCTTTCTACCACTTTTCTTCCTCCTCAAGGCCTTCGCCATCTGTGCAACTGTGACAATGTGTGCTGAAATTAAATGCAAGCCAAAGGCAAAGTAATTTTTGTCTGTGGTCCAGCTAAGAAAATTAAAACACAATAAAAAAAAAAATTGCTTAATATGCAGCATTAGGAATATCCTTAATTGTCACAGACTTGTTTACAGAAGTATAAGTGTGCCTGCTGCCTTCTGGGATACATATCAAATACAATAACTTCACAGACTTTTGTGTACCAGCGTAATCTTCAGTTTAATCAATTGAGCATATCGTGCTGTGTTTAATATTTTCGCCATGCTTTTGCTATCAAATAAAGGCAGATTGTTTTATTGATATTTTCACAGCAATGTAAATCCAAAACAAGCCTGAATCATTGTAGAAATTATGTATCTTAAAACCTGTTCAACAAATCTTCTGTGGCATAAACAGACAGCAATGAAAAAAATCTATTTGTCGTGAATACTCTTCTATAAGAAGACAGACACATTCATGGACACTTCCCTTTTTTGAAGCAGAAGTTTCAGCGTAGAAATAACCTATAGTTTAGAGCTTTACCTTAAACGTTCATTAGAGATGCTGAGAATAGTGCATGGGTTATGAAACTGAACATAAATGTCACCGTCTGCTAGAATGACACCAAACTTAACGTGTACAACATTTTCAAATGAAACGGAGGTTCCTTGTACGCAAGTTGCAACCAGGAGTGGGAGGTACCCAGAAGTAAGTGCACATTCATCTTTGGTGTTCAGAAAAAGCAGATTCTTCGAGTTGTTGTGCAGATAGTTCTCATAATTAAGTTGTGAAAAATCCAACATCAGCAGAAAAAAAGAAAGATGATTGTGCAAAACTGAGCAGATGCGCAACTCAGTAAAACTACTTGTGAGCCAAGAACAGTGAAACATGCAGCACTGCAGATACTTGCTAGAGAGAGAGAGCTCTTTAACACAATGCTTTTTGATCCATATAATTTGTATTTAAAAACCTTTCCAATCATTTTCTAGGCACAAACGCTACCTGAAAACATACTTCTAGGTGGAATTAAGTCTTCATCGCAGCGAAGAGTGGCTTGAAATGTTAGAAATTAGAGTATTTCTCTATTGTTTTGGCACTTTTCTTGAAAGATTTTTGAAGTCACTGGCTACGTGCAGCAAAATACCAGATAAGATAAGCTGCAACCTTTAATTCATGTGTCAAAATTTAGTCTTATGTTACTGAATAACTAACCAAACTAAAAAAAAAAGTATTTTTGAGACTGTGTGAACCATGGTGTTCATAATGTTCAGATATTTTTTTCAGAGTGACTTTTGTCCCACATGTTCTCTCTGGCAGTGAATAGCTGCCATATCAGACTATTATTTTTCTGAGAATTTTTTTGTTTGAGAATGCTAATGTGATCTACACTGAATGCTCTTCAGAGGCCCATTTTAGGAGACAAAGTGTTATTTCCTGCTTTGTAAACAATGCACACTTGCCTAACGAGGAGGCTAATGAGAATGTTCATACAACACAGGATAATGCCAGAAATGAAAAGAAAATGCACAAAACACTGCATGGAACAAAAGTGTCTAGATCAACTATATTTTGACAGTTAGATGTTGTTTTCTGCATGTGATTGCTCATATTTTGCAGAGTAAAACTATCACGCTGTGGCCAGCATCAGGGATCATCTGAGAACTGAGCCAAAGCAAGTGAGAAAAACTGTAAAGCAAGGCTGACTCTATATATATAATGGCCACAAGTGACATTTGCAGAGGAAAAAGTAAATGCCAAAATGTAGTGAGCACAAGCAGAAAGTAGTCATAAAGTTAGTGAACAGAGTCAGAACAGAAGTTTGCACATGATTTCAAATACATGAACTTTGAGCAAGTTCAACTTTAAGAGAAAGGTTGTGATATTTCTTCTTTCTGAAGAAGTGTCATTCAAAGTATGAGGAAATATATGCAGTAAAATAACACAGATCTTAAAATAGTTCAAATTCAGACATCCAAGCATACCAGATGGCGGTGATGGGGACCAGATGATGAATGTGGAGGTAAACCTGCAGCCACAGCGTTCACAGAAGTTTTGTTTTTCTTTCTGCCGTTCTCCACGTTGCACAGTTTATCATGGGATGAGCTGTAAAAATAGAACTCGGAGACTTTGCGTTTTTCTAGCAGATCACTCTAGCCAACTCCTTTGAAAACCAGTGTGAGGTAGGGTGCACTAAGCCTGTATTGCAATAGCAGTGTAATTAAATACAGCAGAGCGGTCTCA